ACCGAACGACTTTAAACAAGTCGTTGGGTCCTCGGGGAAAACAAGGTATCATCATCGGCAAGAGTGATGAAATGAAAGGATATCGGGTTTTCATACCGATGGAACGTATCGTGGTGGTGAGTCAACATGTGAAAAATGTTGAGATGTTGGATAACATACAAGAGAAAAACGTGACCAAAACGTTACATGGTACCGAAGGTCAGGAGGAGCTCGGTGACCAAGGTGGCACGAGCAAATCAAGGGCAAAATCATCGGAATGGAAACGTTATCCACACATGACACGGTCACGTCGAGCTGACGGAGACACATCAAGTGATGTCATAGACATACACAAGAATGTCGGCATGGTCAACGTTGTTCGAGACCCAAGAAACTATGGCGAGGCCGTACGGAGCGACAGCAAGGATAAATGGGCTGTAGCCATCAAGGAAGAGCTGCATGCATTGGAGGAAAACGGTGTGTGGGCGGTTGTTGTTCCACCTGACAACGCCCACATACTGCACAACAAATGGGTCTTCAAGACAAAGACCGACGCCGATGGGAAAGTCGAACGCTACAAGGCCAGACTTGTTGCATGCGGAAACGAGCAGTTGTTTGGAGTCGACTACACCTTGACTTTTGCGGCGGTTATGGAACTTGGAACAGTCAAGGTGATTCTGGTCCTCTCACGCAGATGGAACGTACTGGCTCGGCACGGCGATGTGCCAAACGCATACGTCAAGGCCGATCAAGAAAAGGACCTCGACATCTACATGAAAATACCAAGCGGTATGCAAGTCGATGATGACACCTTGGCCCATCATGGAGTGGACGGGACAAAGCAACTCGCGCTGTTGCTTAAGAAATCCTTGTACGGATTAAAATAAGCTGGAAGATTATGGAGCAAGCTACTGCACTCCAAATTAACTGAGTTGAATTTCAGACAATGCACGACGGACATGTGTCTATACGTCAAACGAACCGGCATAGATGTAACGGTCGTCGGAGTTTACGTCGACGATTTGCTGGTGACTGGAACATCGAATGATCTCGTCGGACAATTTTTCAAGGACATGACGTCTCTCGAGATCAAGGACCTCGGGATGGTGAACAAGTTTCTCGGACTTAGGGTCAAGCTGGACGAAAACGAAGGCTACGTGTTAGATCAAGAAGTAACCATCGACTCACTGCTAATGGAACATGGACTAGCTACAGCTAACGGGGTTCGATCCAATAGGAGACGAATGCAATGACGTCGATGAGACGAAATCGGAGTCCCTGAAGTCGATCGCCAAAGCTGGAGATGCAAGTGTCAAGGCCTTCCAATCACTCATCGGAAGTTTACTCTGGATCGCGCGTTGCACTCGACCAGACATTTGTTTCGCAGTACACCGAGCGACTCGACAGACTCACAAGCCGACAACCAAGGATTGGAGAACGGCGAAACGAGTCGCAAGATACCTGAAGGAAACCAAGAGTTTAAAGTTGTGCATCAACAGCTCACGCGGTATGGACGACCCAATTAAGATTGAAAGCTGGAATGATGCAGACTTTGCCGCGGACAAGTCGGACCGCAAGTCAGTCACGGGATACGTTCTCACGATGGATGGTGCTGTCGTGTCATGGGCGTGCAAGAAGCAGACAGGTGTGTCGCTGAGCACCATGAAAGCTGAGTTCATCGCGGCATCCCACGCTGGTCGCGAGCTGTTGGGTTTGAAGGAACTGTTTGGTGAATTGAACATGAAGATCGTCAAGCCGATGCCGATGTGGATGGATAATCAAGCCGCAATCAACTTGTTGAAGACCGAGAAAAGTTCATCAAGTGCAAAGCATGTGGACGTCCGATTCAAGTTCATCTGCCACTACGCACAAGCAAACGAGGTTGAGCCACGCTTCATCAAGTCAGAAGAGATGATTGCTGATCTCCTAACTAAAGCGCTGGCAGCACCAAGGATGAAGGACCTACGTGCGATGTTCAAGTTGAAGAACCCTCAGGATACGGTTGAGGAGGAGTGTTAGAAGCTATTGTTGTTGACAGGTCGTGAAGGTCAAACGCAATACCCTGTCACGAGGTAAGTAACAACCGTATCTAATTGACTAAACAGACTTGACGTGCTGACAGATGGGACGAGGCGACGATATCGCCACGTCGGACCATCAGGATGTTGTGACATATGGGACGAGGCGACGAGATTACCACATCGTCTTGTCGATGTCGTAACAGATGGGACGGAGCGGGATAGACGTGAACTATAGATGGTATAGTTGCAGTCGGTTTTGCATGCATGTGTAGAGGTATTAACGAACGAGGAAAGTTAATGCGTAATATATATCGCTTTTACTTCTACCTCTACGTGCACAAGTGCACCACTACTTCACTTCATTCTTACAAAGCGTCCGCACACAACAAATTAAAGAACCTACACTCAAGGAGACTGTTTTCAATTTTTATGTGAGTTAGAGTAATAATTAAAATTAATTAATAAAAATTGATTTGTATTTAATTATATAGATTTGTATTTAATTAAAATTAATTTGTATCTAATTAGCCAATGACTATTTATTTAAAATTATTTGTTTTAATTATAAGAAAAAGCTGATTTGACCCACCCCATTATTCAATCGATCCCCTCCCAATTCTTGTGGGGTGGGTCAATTTGATAAATCCCAAGTCTTGAGTTTTATGATACGACACTAACAGAAATTAAGGCTGCTATGGCGGATCACGCTTAAGAAGTGTCGGAGGATCGAAGGCAAAATGGCTTTACAGCTTGCTGGCTGCAAGAGAGTTTTGGACGCCGATTTGCCGTTGTGAAATACTATTCATTCTACCTAAAACTTCTTTTATGGTTCGCTCGATGCTGACGTCGAATGAACAGCACTTCTTTGAAGTTCATATCTTTTGTGCAATCGTAAGTGTTTAAGTGTAACAGGGCTGCTGTTATCATTGTACCGAAATCTTGCTCACTCAGTCTGTTGCTGTATAGGTTAAAGCACTGGTAAACTAAAGGTGACCTAGCAGCTCGACTGACTGCCGTGCAGGTTGCGCACCCGAACGTTGCGATAGGTAGCTAATGAAGGATGACACCGGTGTGCGCGTTATGAGCATTAACTATAAAAGGATGCGACAAGACGGAAATAAAGGAAGTTCATGCTGGAATTGCTCAGCTGTTAAATAAAAAGAGTGCCAACTTCTTTGCTGACGATTATCGTATTAAAAAAAATCTTACTTGATGTGTGTCGGTTAATCATTTTGAATAAATACTGACCGACTGGTCGATACCCGAAGATTCAGTATCGCAAATACATCGTTGAGGTAAGCAATAATAACTTATAAATGGGGTTGATTTAAAAATGGTGTGGGTCGTTTATAAGATAATGGTGTGGGTCGTTTTAAAGATAATGGTGTGGGTCGTTTAAGAGATAATGGGGTGGGTCGAAAAAACAAATTGGGTCGATTTACAAATTGGGTGGGTCGAATGGGGTGGGTCGATATAATTTTTTTTTTAAATATAACTTAAAAGTTATCATACTACAGAAAAGCGTTATATGTCACCCAATTTGGGCCCCATTTTAGAATTTGTCCAATCTTAATCGGTCTGAAAAAATCATTTCTAAAAATAGGAAGAGGTTGTCGATAGTAATTATTACTTTACCCCTCAAAACCACAATGAACAGCCTTGCACCGCCTCCACAGCTTGCATACTCATCCTTAAAACAAGCAAGAGCATCAGAAGCAGCTGCAGTAGATGTAGAAGCATTAGATTGAATGTCCGATGAAAAATGTATAGCCAATTTTTAGAAAACTGCAAACATGATGACAGAAGCGTTATTACTTTTAAGTTTTATAAAGCTACTTTTCTTCAACATCGTCTTTCTCTATAAATCACCTTCGCTGCTTAAGCTTCATTGTCATGATTAAAATAGCCCAATTGACGACTGCGCCTATACACAGTTGGTAAACATGAGTGAGCCGCAGGTGCCAGGATCATTAGGCATACATTGTCACATGGAAGTTCTCTTGAAGTCTCAGTTGTATCGCTTTCATCTCTCTTGTAACCATCTCGTCACTTGAGCTGCTCTAGTTCAGTCTGTAAAGCTCCTCTCAGCATCTCCAGTGTATGTAATGCCACGTCGATTATGGGCTCTCCTCATGACACTATACAAGCTGCGTGTTAATGTATAAGACCGGGCTCGAATTTTCTTAAGCATCCATAATCCTACACATGACAACACAAAAAAACATGTCAAGACGCCGAATGAGCTAATAGCTTAAAGCCAAAATGCTTCCAATTACATATACTGCAGACTTGCAGCAGCACGTGATACTTAGCCGCTTTCTTGTCAATTGCTGAAGCAGCTCCACATAACGCGTAACGTTGTCACTAAAGAAGCCCAGCTGATCCTGTCAAAAGTCTGCCACGCTGTCCGTGAGCTGGTCGAGCGTTCTCATGACGTTCACCGGCGTCTCCAGCAATTAAATCGACAAGTGCTTCACCACATCATCTCAGATCAGCGCTGGAACTGTGCCAATGGCGGCAACGGCATTGTTTAAGGTATTAGTTGCGGCTTGGCGACTTGACTGATGTTGTTAAAAACGTCCGTCTTCAGTGGATGGCGTCTGAGGCAGAGACGAGCCCTGATGGAAGCAAACGGAGACAAGTATGGACTGGACCTACTTGGGCTCGTCGCTTCTGAGGTATGGACGGGACGAACAGGACGCTGATGGCGTAGGCTGGAATATGGAGCTGGACGTACAGGCTCAGAGCGACGATATAAACTGTGACGTTTAAAGATCTTTTTTGTAACCTCAAAATGAAATGTTCCCATTTGGCAAACTGACCAATCAGATTAGGACAAATTTGGGAATATGGGCTAAAGTGTGGGATACCTAACGATCCTTTCTAAATTGTTGTCCACCATACCCATAACTTACCAGAGGGAGATCTAATGTCGTTAAAACGCGGTTAGTTACGAGGCTTGAAGGATTTTGAAAGTTCGTCGTGTTCAAAAGCGACAAAATGAGTGTGTGGCTCGTGTCCGTTCCTAACGAGGGCACCAATTCGTCCGAGACAACATTTCTTTCACTCAAAGCAGAAACGGCTTCTTCTCGTCATGACTATGCTGGTGAATTCATCAACAGACCTCTTATTTTTCTTCTCTTCTCTAACGCTTTCTTTTTATTCAAAGCAGACTGCATCCGGGTCGAGCTGCCGTCAGATCTTCTTGTTGGGACGTTAGACTCTCTTATGGTATATCACTTGATCAAAAAAATTAAATGTTTCCATCCGCTTATATTATTTTATTCTGTGACCAACAGGCACTAAGCGACGACTTAAATCGCGTTGATTTGGTCATTGAGAGTGTCGTACGCAAGATCGAGCGCCAATTCCATGATCTAAACAAGGGAGATCAGGTTCTTACAGTAGATGGAGGTGAGTTAGGCTGTACTAAAGAGAGGGAGACAATTGGACTGCTAATTGGTGAAAATTTGTGGATTAATACAGTGCCGGTGGAGCGCTATTTGAGCTTCTTCTCATGGGACGAAGCCAAGCACCCCCACCGTCGACCACTGCCTGAAATTGTGAACATTGTTCAATCGGTAGGGAAGAGGAGAAAATTATGAGAATAAATGATGTGTTGCGATGAACTGATTTCATGATCGTTCTTACAAAATAGTCGGTGGGCAAGATTGAAGACGAACTAAAGCAATTAGGTACGCTTTATGCCGAGAAAAAACAACAACTTATTGGTCTGCAGCGCAAGAAAGGGTAGGGTAATTGTTTCTTGTTTTATTTGGCGGCTAATGAGTTTTTAGAAAAAAATGATTTTTCTGCTGCGTGTGGTAATAGAGGCAACTTGATGGTGGCAAACCTGAGCGACGTGCTGACGCCTGACGTCGTATCCAAATCGGACTTTGTCAACACCGAGTATCTGCAGACGTTGGTGGTGGTCGTGCCCAAGGTTTTGGAGGAGCAGTGGCTACTGGAATATGCGCAGATTGGTGACCAGATTGCAGAGTATGGCCCCAAGGGCTCTCGTGGAAATGTGCGTGGGCCTCCAGTAGTGCCTGGCTCTTCGCGCAAACTGATGGAAGAAGGCGACTCTGCATTATACACAGTGACATTGCTGAAGGGCCAATATCAATCGGGGTTTCTGGACAGGGAAGGTAACTTCGAGCCTGGAACCATTGTGGATTACATTGAGGACTTTAAAACGCGCGCGAAGGAGAAGCGCTTTGTTGTTCGGGAGTTCAATTTTGACCCTACAAGCCATGCGTCAAACGAAGAAGCTATGGCGGAGTTGGAAGTGGAGGTGGATCGGCTATGGTCTGCGCTCATCCGTTGGTGCAAGGCGCACTTTGGAGAAACGTTTATTGCGTGGATGCATATTAAGGTACGATTCGGAGCTGCCAGCTGACATGACACCGAAGATTGATTTTTTGTTTGGATTGCTTTTTCCGTTAGATCATTCGCGTCTTCGTAGAATCCGTACTTCGCTACGGCCTTCCCGTGAATTTTGTCGTTGTCATGTTCAAGGTACGTTGCTCCGTTATGTTTTTTTGTGGTAGCGAGCATGCGCTGACTCAAACATCGCTGATGTTATAGCCTCACGTAGGTAAGGACAAAAAGCTGCGTTCAGTGCTCTCAAAGAGGTACGCGCATTTACAGCCGGCGCAGTTTTCTGGTCTTGAAGAAGGCGCTTCAAGCTCATCACAGGTTGAGTACTTTCCGTACGTGACGAATTCCTTCCATCCACTTAGCAACACTTAAATGTGACGTGCCAAGAAGACAAGCGATGTAGTTTTCAGTTTCAGGCAAAGATTCCAGTACTAAAAGGAGGAGTCCGAGCTCTAGTAATGTAATTCACATCCCCTTTTGTATGTTTTTACACTTGCTTAAGCTCGAACAACGTGACAAGTTAGTATTGGTCGTTTCTTTTGCGTTCAGGACAATGAGTAGCACAGGGTCAGCCGTGTAGTCGACGCCTCCGCTCGACCTATTCTTTTAAGGCGTCATACACCTGTGTCTTTGCAACCTTTATTTAAAACACGAGCTAAATCAGTTTGCGCAGGTCTTACAAACAATAGCTGAACGCGGTCTTTGCCGCTGTCTCGTTCTCGTGTATTCCTAAGTAAACACATGCCTGCTCTTTACACAGCTCTTCAGTCTCGTTTTTTTCTCGAGGCAGCGCGAATAGCTGCCAGCACCATCTCAGATACCACCAACGGGCAAAATAATGCCCCGCAAGGTGATTTTCCCTGTCATATTAGATATGCTTTCACGAGCAGCCACGGGAGCAAAATTGCGCTGATTCCTTCATAGCATTGCCAAGCTTACCAGTGAGATGGAGGGAAAAAAGTGAAGTTGACGTCGCCATTCCCCTCCCAGAGAGGGCGTAAACGAAGCTTTAACGATAAGAATACATCCACTCGTATGATTCCATGAAATATCCAAGTCGCCACTCCGTAAACCAGAGCGCAATGAAACTTCAATATGGACGAGCTCGTGACCAAGAATGGAGCAATCAATCAAAATAGGGTCAAAAGACAAAGTCGAGTACTGGCGTCTAGTCTTTTGCACCTCAGTCCCATTCAGCTAATGGACAACATTGATAGCTACTTGGCGACAAAGTGCACCGACCTGCCGGTCCAGGTCACGCACCTGCCTTACGGGTAATCGCATGATCAAGAAATGGAAATCGTCATTCAAAAATTAAATCGTCATTCAGAATGTAAAGACTTGCTGCGGAAGAAGGTAGCGCTGAGCGATCTCGACTAATTACTCAATGCTATATCCACTTAGCTCAATCATCTTCATTAATTAAGCAAAGGCCTTCGGAAATGTCCAAACTATTGGCTGTTGCTTGAAAGAATGTGCGAATGAGGTGAAGTGCATATGAAATTGCTACATTCACACCCATTTTTCTCAAAAAGCACACTTTCCGCAAATTTCCTAAATTCACATCCTCTTCCTTAATTTCACTTCGTTGATAACGTTATTAGATGCAATTTAAGTTGTTTAACGTTTCATTAGTTTATATGGTACACCTTTGTAATGAGTTTTTAATGGTGACTGGTGGATGCATAAATGTAGAATTTAAAGGCTGCATTAAACTTTTTTTGGGCCATTAAAGGGTTGCGGCCTCTAGACGCGGACCTTTCCTGCGCATTTCCATCACCTCAACGTTAGCGCTGCACCTGTTTTATTAGGCTTGTATAGGAAGTTTGTGCCCTCAAGACGTCACGACACATTGAGACGACACTACGTCGCTTTCGCTAGTTATTTCCGCTCGTTGCAACGGCACAGAGGGCGACGTCGTTGCTAAGCAGATGCTAGCTACGACAAAAGAGGCGGAGCTCGTCATATACAGCGTCGGGACAGTAGCTCGTGTTGTGTAGCTTACACGCACGGAGGACGATGGCGAGGGGCTTTTAGTGCTTTTGCAAGAGTTGCATCGAGTGCAACTGCAGGGTCTGTTTTAAAATGAAGCTGAAGCAGCTAACAGGAAAACACTCAAGATATTGTTGTACTGCAGCAATGGACTCGGTGATGCAACGGCAAATTGTCGGCGGGAGAGCTGGCGGATGTGGTCGTGTCGTATCTGAATGTGGGGGTCAACGAGAAACAACAAGTGCTAGAAGCTCTGTCGATTGCTCATAGCTGCGAACGGCAGCGATTTTACTGGAATTGTGGACGGAGATGGCGCGGCTGCAACGCAAGATTCAAAGTGAGGTGCAGAATAAGTTAGAGGTGACCCGCAATTAATTCTTACTGCGGCAACAACTAGAAGCTATTAAGAAAGAGCTAAGACACTTACCGTAAGTTTGAGCGGGTAGTGCTTGGTGGAATTTACGATGAGGCTAAAACATCGCAAACCTACGTTGGTGCTATGCCTGGCTGCATTCTGAATGCTCTATGTCATCGAGAGACAATAATCCTTTGCTGTTTTTTAAATGAGGTGGACATGCTGGGATAGGCAATTGCGTGGCTATGGAAGTCGTTCGATCGATAAGTATACGAGGAATACAAAGATTAGTCTGTAAATCAATTTTAACGCCTCAATCTAACAAAAAAAAATTAAATGGTTTCTTCATTTAAAGGCTCGCAAACCTCTGTTCTGAGAGCTGCAATCACTCGATCATGTAACTGAGAGCCAAAGTACATTTTGTCAAGACCCAATGTACCTTAAATGAATCCTTTACCTTATGAGGCCTTATTCTTGGAAAGCTTGGTTGCCTCATCGTCCTCCAAAATTTCTGACTGCAGCATGTTCTGGTTCACATCCTCTTCGTCACTCATTGATTTTTTGTCCTTACTGTTAGGGGTCTTCAGGGTACTTGGGTCCTCGTCATCGTTTTGGGCATCATCAGCAGTGTCTTTAGCTTGAGTTTCGTACTTGTCGTCCTTGACGTTCGTTTTAATATAAGAGTCGTCCAGATCATCGTCAGGGAAGGATTCCTTAGCGTGCGTGTCGCGCTTCGGTTTGCCAGAACCTTGCGAGAACATACCAGTGCCTTCAACTCGAGTTTGGTGCTTGTCATCCTTAACGTTCGTGTCGCTATATAAGTCGTCCAGATTGTCGTTTTTTAAGGATTCATTCGATTTCGTTGATTTACCAGACTTTCCCAAAATAACATTGTTATCAGAGTCGGAGTCCTCATTGTCCTGGATATCACTGTCGTCGTCGTCCTTGACATTAACGTAATTGGGTTTGCCATCCGTTTTGCTAGGCAACGAGTTATTATCATTAAAGTCAGTGGCCTGCGTTGAAAACTCTTTATGGGTCAGTTGAGTTATGAAATTATCTACGTCTTTTTCCGAGCTATCAACATAGGCATCAAGGATGTCCACTAACGGAATCTTGCCCTTCTCCTCGCCGATTATATCCATGATATTAATTTTTCCCTCGGAGTTGACATAGTCGGCCGAGTCAACAATCAATTTGTCATTAGTTGTTTTAGAATCGTGCGAGTCCGCAGCTTTGACTTCATTGACTTCGTCATCATATCTTGTAGAACGCAGATTACTTGAGTTGTCCGCGTATGAGGATGTAACTGCGAGAGCTACAACGAGAAGTCCTGTGAATACCTTCATCTTCTTTTTTTGTTCTTAAGGCGACTGTGTTCTGCTAAACTGAGCAAATTGAATAATGAACAGCAGAGAGAAAGGTTGCTAGACTCCCGAGCACCTTCCGAGATTGCATCTTCGTATAATTATATCGGGAGCAGACCCCATCTGAAGATCATTTGTCACCATAGTCTACTACATATTATTTTCATTGATGCACGATCCTGATGCTCCCCATCTATTAAAATGGCGTCTGCTAGCAGCAAGCCATATGCTGTGCGACAATCAGCTGACCATTCAAATTTTAAATGCTTTTAGCTACCGTAATTACATTCATTAATAATAAAATTCTGTCATTTGTGCTGAATTAACAAGAAAATAACAATCTACGATTTCGCCATAACCCGTTTTATACCCGTAACATACTATGACTTCGATGCATGATATTCTGCAGTTGCCGATTCCTATACCAGCCCCCAATTAAAGCAAATCGCCTAATCGGAGCCGTGCGACTTTAACTGCTCGTAAATGATCTGCGCAAAAAAGTCGGTTTATCCTGAGATTTTCTAATGCGACCAGAACGCGCCCAGAAGGGGTCCGTGTAAATAATTACACACGGAAGAGTAAAGCGCTTTACAGTAGGTCGACATGAAGAATTAGAACGTTTCCTAAAGGGTCTGGTTAGCATCGTAAGTAAATGCAGCCGCCGCAGCGATGTGCAGCACGGATAGATGAAGTGAAATACTGTATGTGTAAAGTAAAATCAGACATCGTGAGTTTGTTGTAGGCTCTATTGTGTTTGACTCTATGCTAGCGTATAAACGTAAACTCGATCATCTGCGATATAGTCATGTCGATTAGATTTGTATCTCATCACTTCGCTTGTCTTGGCGACTTTACTTTGGCTACGGAGAGGCCTTATGACACCATGACTTCAGCGATACAATGACAGCGTATGTGTATATGAACACTCGCTACGAACGTTATTTGCGTTTGAACTCCGGTCTTTCCTTCGTCGTCTTTGGAGGAGTCACGACTTTTAGACTGTTAAGAGTCTTTGCGTCATTCACGATAATGAGCTAGTAGAATCGGATTAGACGACTCATCCTTATCCAGGCTGCCGATACCGCTCGTCGATGCAGGATCACTCTTCTTCGCACTTCGTTGACTTTGATGACTTCAATGTTGTGGCAGTTGTGGCAGTTGTGGCAGTTGTGGCAGTTGTGGCGGAAACCTTCATTTCTTCGGTACTCTTTACGAGGTGGGGCGGCAGAAGCTTTGGCTAGTAGCATAAAAAGTCACTCGGTTTTTCTTGTCAACAGTCTCGCTAAAACTTTGTTACTTTTGATTCGCACTCGTTTCCATATTTCACAACATGTCAGGACACGTACTGGACTGCTGTTAATCGAGAAGGATGCGGCAAAAACAATTGAGAGCTTAAACACACTCCTGCTAGCTCGCCACGATAAAATCGGTTACGTTACCCTTAGAAACCGTAAATGCACAGTGATTAGTGTGCGAGATTCCAAGGTTCAAGATGGAAGCGTTGTTGATGGGACAAGGAAAGATTATTTTAGGTCAGTCTTTTCGCGTGACGCCGCTTGTAACGGGGTTACACGACGGTTGGAACATCATTTCGAAAATTTACTGTTGAAGTTTCTATATTGCATATTATGTATTCTTGTTACTTCTCTTTAAAAAGGTATTAAGTATGAGCGTTAAGATACGGTATTCGGTAATACCGTATCTTATCGCTTAGGATTCGATGATCAATAACGCTGTACTAAGTACATCATACAATGATGTTTATACGATATGTAGTCCAATAGCAAAGTCTGCATATTGTGGTGGAGTGGGATTCGCAAAATTGCTGATGCGATCCCAACTCTCCACTGGCGCCCGGACGACCGACTAACGGAGGGGGTTTCCCGATTCCGTGTGTATAGCCTTCCTCACCTTGTATACCCGTCGGTAGGGCGGGTTGCTCTCTTCTCGGTAGACTTGAGTCGATGTTGAACTTGATTGTGTTAGGGATAGGTGGGGGGCGATCGAGTGGAATTCCTCACACGATCGCAGTTGTTCTTGGGGTGCTCGATTTGAGTCGCCCTGATCTCCCTTGAGATCGCCTTGTCCAAAAATGTAGATACTTGATCCGCTTGCCTTCTGACCACTTGAGCCGTCTCGCGATCTTGTATCTGGACTTCTTGGTCCTTTGCGTCCAATCGCAGCTTGAGTTGTTTTGTTGAGAATTCTTGCAATCCCTGGCCAAACAATCCAGGGATATGACTTGCGTAGTATGTAGACTTCCTTGAGACGTCGGGAGGCCAAAGAATCCAGCCCGGAAGAGAAGTCGACACGTGTATTTAGAAGCACGTTGAACTCTGTTAATGTTAACCAATCAAATACCAAAACCTATGATCTTGACTATCTGTAGCTCAGGATCTATTGCCACGTATCGCCCTTTCGGAGAAATCAGATCTTGTAATGTGGTCCACTCCAATATCGCCGCGATCTGGATCGCTACCTCGCTCGGATCTAATACCATTTTAGTATCGGATCGCGGTACTAAATAATTAATATCGGATCGCGGTACTAAATAATTAGTATCGGATCGCGGTACTAATAATTAATATCGGTTCGCGATACGCCGGATCACAACTTATCCTCTTCACCGTTTCTCAGGTCATGTGAGATAGTTCATCTATGTGACATGTCATGTCCACCTCATTCCAGTCCTCCATAGCGACGTGATCCACACCAGACCGTCTTCCACATACTTGGATGTACCCATCCTCCTTACTAGCGATCGCGTTCACGCGGATCGCCATCGGAAATACTGGAGGTCGCAATAGCGAAGATTCTAGGCCATATTTGACCCCACATAGAACTACAAACTACACCATTCACTGTTTTCCATCCCATTTGACGTCATCTCGAAATCTTTCTGCGAGATCGCGACTCATCAATATTGGCCATTTCGGACGTAACCGAAAATATGTGATCACACTTTGCGAAATTCACTCCTTCACTTCGCCACAATCTTCCCCTGCATCGTTAGCCCACATACAGTGTTGGCCTAGCTGTGCACTGTCTCGTTTCACCCTTCTCTTCACTTCGTTCCCTATGGCCAGATCAACACCCGAAAACGATCGCCACCCCCAAACTGGTGTGCTCGTAACGCGCGATCCAACGATGATTTCTTCTACCGGATCGCGTATCTTGCTCCCGTCTACCCGGATAATCCTTTCTCCCGTTACGGATCGTCAAAACGCGATCTCGTTGGTTTCTTCATTGTATGATCGCCTGGAAGCCCAAGATACCATCGCGGAAAGCTATCACTCCATGGAAAATGCCTTGCAGGAGCAGGAATTTCGTGGAAATCAGCTGGAGACGGAACTCAATTCGTATCACGAGTTGGTGCCTCGACTGTGCACATTCGTCTTGCGTCGAGATGAAGAGTTGCGTCAACAACTTGATACCGCTCTCCACATGGCCGAAGGTCTCGACGAAGAACTGAACCAGGCAACGGATCAGTCTCAGGAGATCGCAGATCTGAAAAATGACTTGTTTCGAGCCAATGCAGAGAAACATCGCCTGCAGGATAAATTCCGCCGTGAGGCGGCCAATCTTCAGCGAACTCTGGAAGGAAAATTCCGGCAGCAGATCGCGTCCCTCCAACAGCAACTGGACTCCATCCTCGCACAGCGTAAAACGGCAGACAGTGCTTTGGCCGCTGCACATGAAAAGCAAGGCGTCCAAGTACAAGAAAGCTCGCTCTCAGGCCCAGCAAGCCGTGAAACAACTGCAAGAGACGCTGAGCGCGCTCGAGCTTGATCATGATCGCCTCCTGAGTGCGAGTATTCGGAACGACTCAGCTTTGGGTCGACTTCGTACCGAAGTTGCAGATCGAGAGGCGGAGCGCGATCTGGCCATCCAGGATCGAGATTTACTTCGTTCGCATCTGGTAGAATTGGCTACGGGCTTACTTCCTGCTCCGACTAGCCTTCTCGCGCTATCCAATTCCTCGTCACCCAATCGCAAACGTGCGTCATCTTCACCGACTCTGGACGTCCCCTGTAAACGTCCACGCAGCGGTTCCGGTACTTCTGCTCAATCTGCGACCTCGGAGGAATCTGGCATTCCAGCGCGATCTGGTACTCTGACGCGATCTGGCACCCCGGCGCGATCTGGGACTTCGGCGCGATCTGGTACTCCACCGCGATCTGGTAATTTAACGCGATCTGGCACTCCGGCGCGATCTGGTACTTCAGCGCGATCTGAAATATCGGCGCAATCCGGTATTTCGGCACAGTCTAATGCTTTGGCGCGATCTGGGACTTCAGCGCAATCTGGTACTCCGCCGCGATCTGGTACTCCGCCGCGATCTGGTATTTAACGCGATCTGGTAATTCGACGCGATCTGGTAATTCGACGCGATCTGGTACTCGGGCGCGATCTGCCAAGTCGGTGCGATCCGTTATTACAACGCGACGCAATGTTTCGTCGAAAGCTAAAAGGAAACGCAAAACGTGTCCCTCGCCTTCGCCTGACTCTGAGTATGACGAATGGTCTTCCGATCCCGAAGACGCTACACTTGCTGCTTTATCCGGATCGCGTTCAACCGCGAGGCGTCACACCACCGTGACGAAACTCTCTGGCAACACCGGATCGTCTCAGTCCCCTATCATAATTCACAATGGTAGCCCACCCTCCAGAAAATCACCAGTCTCGAGTCCTGATACGCCCCCTAGCCTTACGACCAAGATTTTCAAGGTCAAGCTTTTTGGCGAATCTTTCAGCAACTCGGACGGGAAGATTAGCGTTTCCAGTGACATTCGTGAAGATATAAACCAGTTGTTCACTCCCGCTCAATACGCCGACCTGCCTGATCTCCAAAAATCACGTGATGCGTGGATCCCAGGATATCGTGAGCGAAAGCCCCGATCGTCAACTCAGGTCGCTCCATGGTCCGCCCGACGGGTCAGTCTGACCAGTGTTGCCAAATTGGGAGAAGAGTTCTTCTTCGA